AACGTTAAGAGTTTTTTTTTTGCTTTCCGAGGATTGAAATCTATTTTTGCTTTGTTTTTACGGCATATCAACCTTTGACAAATTATTTAACGTCGAATTCTATCGATGTGATTTCAGTAGATAGGTAAGTAAACATGTGTTCGGACTGCACAAGATTCCAAAAGATAGTCTTAGCTACGGTAAAACAAGTAGCCACTTGCTGGTGAGTGTATTTTTCAGCATGGGGATGCAATTGGTGTACCTTTGACCATGGCCGACGTGGTGATCCATTTTTACGTATTTCACTTTATTGATCCATTCTTCACGTCACTAATTTATCACGAATGAAAAAAAAGACGTCATTAAATGTTCGTTAATGTGCTCATGTCTAAAAATTATAAATAGACTATATCTGAAAAAGATCAATAGGAATAAAGACAAAAGGAAAACTTATCTTAGCCGACGCGTTTCGTCCTCTCATAAAGTTTGCCTCAGTACGTAAAACACATCGGCTAAGAAAAGTTTTCCTTTTGTCTTTATTCATAATATACTCCTGCATGAAGCAAAGCTACCTGAATTACATGGAGACATGTGATTTGTGTATACCACTTTGCTAGATGGGACAATCAGTTTCTAACTGTGATTTTCCAAGCGTAGATTAGATGTGGCACAAGGCCGAAATTAGAGGGCACCCATTGAAGACACACTTGTTAACCATTACACCGCGTCGAGGTGCCCTAAAGCGGTAAGGACCGGTCGTCATAGTAACTTACTAAGAATAGCTTTGATGTGGTACAAAGCCGAAAGTATGGTGCACCCAATGAGGATCGAACTCACTAGTCAGTCGTAATTGACCTAGCGAGACAAGCTTAGTATTTCTCCACGTCGAAGCGCTCATGTTTTTCTAAGCATAGCTTAGATGTGGCACACGGCCGAAAGTGTGGAGCACCCAGTCACGATCGGACTCATTACTCTATTGCCATATATTCCTCAAACTAAGCCACTATCCATTACTCCACTGTGCCTCGTCTTGGAACTTAAATTCAACCAAGATTCCAGTAGAACTCATGCATACGATCCATCGCTAAAGATGCTGAAATAATGGTTGGTTCCATATACCTTACTGTTCCTGCTATCTTTTACCATGACAAGAGCTATATCAGGTTCAAAATGGAGTACTGTTGCCATATATAGATCTAACAAGGCAAGTTTGCTAACCATTATATTACGTCGAAGTGTCCTAGAATGGTGTTTTTCTAAGCGCGGCTTAGAGGCGGCACAAGTAATTATGGGGCACCCAGTGAGGATCGAACTCACTACTCAGTCATAATTGGTCTAGCGAGATAAGCTTGGTAACCATGACACCACGTTATGGTGACCCAACTTGTTTCGTATAATGGCAAACATTCAGATGATCTCTCGTGTAAAATAATAAAAAAAAGAGATCCATCGATTTCTTTATGGCGTATATGGTTTCTAGTGATATGTCTATCGGGGATCATCTCCCAATTACGTTAAAAGGAGTCAGGTCTGTTGGGCAGAGAACCAGAACTAGATCTAGCGACAAGTAACGGAATGGCTATTATTTGAAAGCCAAGCGATAATAAAATTTGAAACTATTTCTATATTCGTTAAATTAGCCTAATTTATTAAATATAGACCCATGAAGTCACATTGTCGTTAAATTCGAAATCTAGTTGGTTTTAAATTTCGATATTTGCCTCATATAGGGTACGCTGAACAGAACATGGACACCAATGTGCGTGTGTGTGTCGGTTTCCAGGTTTAGACATACTGACGTTGCTCTCGTCACTTGGGAAATAATCCTCTTACGAATTAGAATGGATATGTACCGGAATTGTTGCAGCGTTAACGATCTGATCACAAGTCCTGGATTTCGAATCTCACCACTGTCGATTAGTGAGGCAGTTGATTTCTTGCAAATATCGACCAGAGCAGACAATACCAATATATAGCCATCCGGAGAAATGACTAAATACCAAAGAACAGGTTGAGCTAAGCTTTCTGTAAGAAATTGACGAGATCAAGTTGTTCAGCAACCGACAATGCTTATGTACTTGTCAGATATACGTTCTTCCTTTCTTGTTGGCAATCTAGACTCGATATAAGTAGCCAGCAGGCTAAACCACGCATAAGGATCGGCCGCCCCTTAAAAACGCACAATGATTAAACTTAATTAGTCACGCGAGTTTCGCAATCAGTTAAAGATTGCTTTTTTTTTTCTTTTTTTTTTTTTCATTACGAAATGTACACCTGAAAAAAAAGCCGTAGAATAGATCGGCTAAAATGTGTAACAAATAGAAATTTAGGTATATAACAAGTATCTGAGAAGGCACTGTGGAGTAATGGATAGCGGGTTTGATTGAAAAATCGGAGAGCCGAGTTCGAATTCCAGTCGAATCCATTGCATTCACTTATGTGCTAATACTCTTGGGAAAGGAATAAATCCTCTTCTTCTTCTTCACCCAGCTATGGGTAAATAGCAGGATGGCAACTGGTGTACCGTAGAAAGAAATGGCAACCTACAGTGGGAAAAATCTGGCTCGTCAGTCATGTATCGAAAGATACATGAACGCCTAAGCGCGTATCACGCCTGGCATATAACTGATCTGAGAAAACTGCCAGTATTTAAACATCGTGCTCGCAAAGAAATAAGTTGTATTAAAAGGATGGTTATTTCCTTGATACCGCTATTATTGTATACACTTTTGACTCATTCGGTAATGTTTATTGTTTTAAAAAGCGACGTTTAGAATGTTAATAAAACCCAAACATATGAAAGTAAATTTATACATTTTCTTAAAAAATATGAAAATAGCGTTTCTCTACATTCCAGTTGCTAGGTACATTCTGTTTTTGTTTTTATTAGTTACTTTGTTCATTTAATTTCATTTTCATATTTTGCTTTGATAAAGTCCACATTGGACGAAACTCGTCAGCAATTACCAGTTTTCTTATTGTCATTTTTATTCATATATATATATATATATATATATATATATATATATATATATATATATATATATATATATATATATATATATATCGGAGAGCTGAGTTCGAATTCCAGTTAAGTCCATTACGTTCACCTAAGTGTTAATACTTTTGAGAAAGTTATTAATCCTCTTCTTCTCCCTCTAGGGGTAAAATAGCAGAAGAAAATGGATTCTATAGCATTAGATGGCAACTGGCCTAGGAGAATGACAACTCTGAATTGAAAAGCATGTAGTGCATCAGGTCTCTGTATTCGGCCCTCCAAAAAGTGTGGTTGCTTCTGCAGAAAGTCTTCACCACTAGAATCCAATCATATGCGGTGGTGTCGCTTCCTAGGACCTCAGCTGCTTGACCCTCATATGTCGAATACGAAGGAGATATATATATATATATATATATATATATATATATATATATATATATGTATGTATATATATATATATGTGTGTGTGTGTGTGTGTGTAAGTAATTAAAACTAAAGATCATTCTTATATATGTGTATGTGTGTGTGTGTGTGCCTATGAAGAGGGACAGAGACTCAATTTTTAAAAATGTTTAATTAAATAACGCTCTCAAGTACTCTTTAAGCTAATTGCGTAAAAATGTAAAATATTAGAGAATACAAGTGATGTAATTCATTTGTAATAATCGAAAGTGGTGTTGATGAACATATATATATATATATATATATATATATATATATATATATATATAGTTCGGGAATTACTGAAAACTAAATACGGAATAAACAATTATTAATTCAGTAGGTACTTGCAAACTGTTGAAAGTGGATACGGTTGGTCCTAGATTTGTAACGGTTAAAATTGTGGTAAGAAGTTTCTGCTTAGGTGTTTATTCCAAAAAGGAGCAAAAGAATCAGAACTTGGAAAAAAGTTGCCGAAAAGAAAATTCCTACCTAGAATGCAAAGGAAATAAAGATTCAACACTGTATTCGTGTATATATATATATATATATATATATATATATATTAAGCATTACGCCCTGAGCAAGGTGTGAAGCCACTAGGATGCAGAAGATTTGGAGCAAGAGTAGATAGGAGAAGAAAGGATGAGGAGAGGGATAGTGGATAGATCAATGTAACTGGAGATGTCGATTGACATTACATTTGAATAGTTGGAGATTATAGCACTCAGGGAAACAGTAATGGGGAAGGGTGTTCCACAGGCGAGAGGAGCGAGGTATGAAGCTATTGGAGTAGAAGAGACGGCTACATTTAAAAGTATCTACAGTGAAAGGGTGAGAGCGAGATGCCGGCCTCGTAGGGCGCTTGAATTCATGAAGTCTGGGAACCAGTGAAAGCAGCTCATCGGAGCAATTGCCATGAAAGTATTTGTAAAAAAGACAGAGAGAGGTGACGGCGCGTCTGTAAGAGAGCATATATTAGGTTGGTGCAAAAATAATGACGTAATGATGTCGTTTTTAACGCATTTTTAACGTCAAAAACGACATTATTACGTCATTATTTTTGCACCAACCTAATATTTAATAATATATAATAATTTCTTTTGTATTTTCTTAGTAGGTAGGAATTTCCATTGGGAGAAATTTTCACCAATCCCCGCGAAACTTCCCGCCTATAACCCATACTTAGCAACTGAACGTGAGTCTTGTAAACATGAAAGTACCTAGGAAAGGATAGGGATGACATGGAATTCCTCGACAAAGAGGAACCATTGTGTTCCAGCATTGTTCATGATCGGATAGACCGTTTCGGTGTGATGTAGGCACGTGTCTTTTTTGTCGCAATTAAATACTTTTAAAACCTCGAAGTGAAAATTTTATACGGCACCGGGATGGTTCTCCACATTTGTGGTCCCAAATGTAAATGAATAAGATATATTTGGTCACAAAATATTCATCCAATTCTGTTCGATTACAAAGTAGCCACCAGGTCAATCTACTTAATATTTATTGTATTTTCCACTTTTCCAATTTATTTTATTTCCAATACTGTCCGACGTTCATAATATGTTGCGTTTTTTAATCATTTATTTCGACCATCTGAGTTATTTTCAAGAATCAATGTTAGATAGATAGATAGATAGATAGAGAGAGAGAGAGAGAGAGAGAGAGAGAGAGAGAGAGAGATAGATAGATAGATAGATAGATAGATAGATAGATAGATAGATAGATAGAAGTGGAGCGAATTAAGTGTAAATGAATACAATCCTAAGCCTGTCGCAGATTTATTTTTTTAGGTAAAATATTTTAGGTAGATATCAAGTGACCCCTCAAGACGTAGGCGATCTTTCCTCTCCACAACATTTTCCCTATTGTAGTTCTTAATAATCTTTGTATTTCTGTTACTTCTCATAAGACCTGTTCCGCCATCCATTTTGTCAAGCTCACTAAGTTTTGCTCTGTTTTGCCGTCCATCTGTCCTGTGAGTATCAAATTTTCCAAACTCTCTTTCCTCATTATAAACCCCAACAAACACACACACACACACACACACACACACACATATATATATATATATATATATATATATATATATATATATATACTTTTAAGGTGTGCTATATTTATGGGATAAAGTGCTCAATATCAGAGATAGAGCGTATATAAATATAAAAGTGAACATTGAAGACAACACTCCGAGGCGACAGGCTGTTTCATGTTAGGCGCAATCGTCAGGCAGCACGACAATTGCTTCTAGCATGAAACAGCCTGTCGCCTCTCAGTGTTGTCTTCAATGTTCACTTTATATATATATATATATATATATATATATATATATATATATATATATAGCGTCTTGAGAAAATTGTGAAAAAATAATTGTTCTAAACAATTATTCTAAAACAATTTATTCGAAATGTAAACTGTTTGAATAAAATTAAAAAGAAAAAACAATTATACACTAATTGTATTTTTATTCTTCGAATTTCATTTACCGGCTTATTAAAATCGCATATTATACAAAATATATGTGAACCTCTTCCGTCCTAATTATATCTATCTATCTATCTATCTATCTATCTATCTATATATATATATATATATATATATATATATATATATATATATATATATATAATTATTTTACATTGATGGTATATTGATATTATAACAGCAAAATTGTCCATGTATTAATTTAAGCTTTGAACCGTTGCATCTTAGAAATCATTAAAGTTATCTTACTGGAATTCCCTGAAAGTTTTATAATGCTATTGGACACTACATTGAGCAATAAGAATATATAATTACTCTCCAAGATTAACAGAAGAATCGTGGCAAAATCGATCATGAACGAAAATGACATGTTCACTATTAATTAATCAGAGATAAGGATTGGAAAGCGTGTAGATTCTTATTGTTCAAAGTAGAGCCCAACAGCGTTATAAAAATCTCCGAGAACTCCAGTAAAATATCTTTAATCATTTCAAAGATACAACGATTAAAATCTTACTTTAATATAAGGACAATTTTGTTGTTATTGTTATATATATATATATATATATATATATATATATATATATATATATATATATATATATATATATATATATATATATATATATAATAATAATAATAATAAATGATTAAAATAAATGTGTACGTATGTATGTTTTTCTACTCTATTTAAACTGCATGACCAATCAAAGTTCTTCAAAAATAAGTATAAATAAAATAACTATGGCGGGTAATTACAGTCTCTATTGCCATAACACATTCAAGCGTTTCTGAATTCGTGGATGAACATAATTAAAATAGGACCAATTAATTTAGAATTTCCTCTCGCATGCATATATATATATATAGATATATATATATATATATATATATATATATATATATATATATATATATATACATATATATATATATATATATATATATATATATATATATATATATATATATATATATATATATTCTGCCCCTATCTGCTGCATTATCAGTGTTTATACCTGCTTGGAAATGTCTTCGTCTAATATTAACTGAATGTCTTTTGATAGTATCATTAACTACTTATATCTTGGACTGACCTTAAGGAAGGACACACTAAATATAAGCTGCCCTCCCCCAAGCGAGTCTTATTCATCTAAAAAAATCAGGCAGGTGCCTACTTGGGTCCTTCAAACTGTGTACTTCGCCGAAAGGAACAAAAGGTATATCTGGTTTCTTCAACTGTTGTCTCGATTTCATTTCATGAAAGCCGATACGATTATATGCAGCCTATGTCTCCAAACCCTGCACTTTACATTCATATTCATATATATATATATATATATATATATATATATATATATATATATATATATATATATATATATATATTAAACAATTAAGAAAGGACAACTTTAAGGTTTCATGGCTATAATTTATTTCACCAGAAAATATATTTTCCCAAAAAAGTTGATAAATCCCAAACTGGCTATATATATATATATATATATATATATATATATATATATATATATATTGTCAGAAATTAAAATAAGAGTACATCTCATTTTAACAGTTATATTACCAAAATTATACAAAATGTCTTGAAATACTAAAGTTTAAATCTATTCAATTACGCTCTATGTCTTCTGGACACTCTTCTTTTTTAAGTTGGTGACTGCTTCCATACTCCTTGCCTTCAGCCTATCTTTGGTATGATAAGGAGTATGTTGTTCTCTAGCTCAACCGCATCCTACACATAATCATCAAGCCGATTACAGACTTGGGAGTTTGATGGCCTGATGCAAGGGGTGACGTGGTCTCGGAAATTATCTGACAGCCATGAATGGATACTCCTGCTTTTGTGAACTGGTGCAGAGTCCTGTTTCTAGATATAGGCTATTCCAGATACCACCTTCTTGATCAAGGCCAGCACTTCCTCCTAAAGCCACATGATGCAGGCCTCCTTGTTAAATATGAGGCATTCATCAACAAATTCGGAGGCTCTTTTCTGCTCAGAAGGATCAGAGTAATTTTCCCGAGTCTCTGCACATTCATAAGCACCATTAGACTCATCCAAGTCTTTTCGAATCTTCTGCACTGTCCTTAGATTTACACCCAAGCACTCTGAAATGTTCGTATTGGAGCCTCCGGCGTGAATGCCAAGCAATGTATCATGACGTTTACAAATTTCTGGCGGAGTGAATTGCGTCATGGTGATCTTTTTTTCTCACAGACGGTGCCCAACTGACCTACTAAACTGTGCAGTCGACAAAATCGAAAACAATCAACGCTCACGCGCAAAATAAAATAATATAGAATTGCGACAATTTAACCATCGCACCCTGGATGAAAACTTTTCTCTTTATTTCCTATTTTGTTCTATATGCCACGTCTCTTCAGGACATAGGCTTTCATTGCTCTCAATACCTTTTGATAAGTCCATCGTTCCGCATGCCGCCATCCTTTCATACCACCTTGTCAGGTACGTGGCTTGCTGCTTTCCCTTGTCTATATTACGTTTAGTATGCCCCTTGAACGTTAAATGTCGTAAGCAACATTTTCTCATCATGTGTGCAAGTAATTCCAGCTATCTTTTCCTGATTCTGACAATAAGTGTTCTTTCTCTACCGATTTTAAGACTTCTTAAAGACTTCCTCGTTGCATACTCGCTTCACACATGGAATTCTCAGTATCCTTCCGCAGAACAACATTTCTGCTATCTTTGTTTTGGAAACAACGAAGTGGATTTGGATGTCACAATGTTACCTAAAATTACAGTCAATTTGAATAGCAAGGACGCTATTTTTGGGTGTTGGGTGCTTTATTTCACCCGTTTATTGAGTAAGATTATTGTAAGCGTATCCGAAAGATGAAATAAAAGGAGTCTGTTATGAAGATATATCGGATAGTTTAACGGCTACAATTTGTGAGTAGTACTATTAAAAGAAGGCACGCTGGAGTAATGGATAGCGGCTCGAATTGACGAATCAGAGAGCCGAGTTCGAATTCCAGTCGAATACATTACATTCACTTACGCGCTAAGTATGGAAATTCCTACCTTGTGAAACGTATGGATTGCCTTCTCCCCCACCTCCAATAGGTAAATAGCAGGACAGATCGGGTTCTTGGATGGCAACTGGTCTACCGCAGAAAGTAATGACAATCTACAGCGGGAAAAAATCTGCCTCGTCCGTCATGTATCGAAAGATATATGATCGCCTAAGCATGTATCACTTATGGCATAATGACTGCATAATTTTATACTAATGTTCAGACAATACCAAAAACAAGAGCCACACAAGGTAGATGATTACTTTTATGGGCCCAAAAAGGCAAAAATACAGTTGATGAGGAGAGCTAACGATTAACCATAAATTTGATCATCTGGAGATTATAGTGGTCAGGAAACATCCTGGCTATTTCAAAAAGCAAACGTTCTTGTGAATAGAATGTATTTATCCAGACCTGGCTGGCACTTAAGTAAATATTCCCGTCTAGCCTACTATTTAACCCATATTCGGGAGAAGATGAGATAGATTTGTCTTTTCCAAAGGGCTTTTGTTCGAATGTGAATGAAACAGAAAAAAACAGACATTTGAACTCTGTTCGCCAATTCATGTTTCCACTCCGATTTCCATTTCACAACTCGCGTCTCCTTTAAAGTTAAGGACAGAATTTTGCAGTAGCTGCGAGGCTTGGACAATTAACAAGAGGCAAGCGGAGATGTTCGCAGTAGAGTTCAGAGGGAGATCGAACGGATGGTGTTTAAACATTACATCCCAAGAGAAAACAGCTGGAGTAGACATCAAAGAAGTCTCTGCAATTCAATCCACCCGGCACGCCAATCACGGACAATCACAAACGGACAGGAAGAAATAAGATCAGAATATGAGGCTAACCGAATAAAAGGTGGAGTGACGGAGTTCCATTATGGTAGCGCGATGCCAACAGTAAAACACGGGAAAAGAATGGCAATGATGATAATGATGATCATGATGATGTTCAGAAAACACTGCATTGGTATTTTAGATAGAATTGTTATTCTACATAGAATACATGCGATTTCACAAAATAAAACCATCATTTTATGTTGGATTCCCAGCCACTCTGATTTTCATGGAAATGAAAAAGCTGATGTGGCTGCAAAAAATCTCTCTGAAACTTAACACAAGTAACATAAAGGTTCCATACACTAACTATAAACCCCTAATAAATGACTTTATTTTGAAGAAATGACAAGACGCTTGGAACAGCTGTCAAAACAACAAATTATTTAAAAT